GAAACATCCCCAAATGACTAAAACATTGAGAAAGTGAATAAATATTACAGAGACTATCTACAGAAACATCCTCAAATAACTAAAACATTGAGAAAGTGAATAAATATTACAGAGACTATCTACAGAAACATCCCCAAATGACTAAAACATTGAGAAAGTGAATAAATATTACAGAGACTATCTACAGAAACATCCTCAAATGACTAAAACATTGAGAGAGTGAATAAATATTACAGAGACTATCTACAGAAACATCCCCAAATGACTAAAACATTGAGAAAGTGAATAAATATTACAGAGACTACAGAAACATCCCCAAATGACTAAAACATTGAGAGAGTGAATAAATATTACAGAGACTATCTACAGAAACATCCTCAAATGACTAAAACATTGAGAGAGTGAATAAATATTACAGAGATTATCTACAGAAACATCCCCAAATGACTAAAACACTGAGAGAGTGAATAAATATTACAGAGACTATCTACAGAAACATCCCCAAATGACTAAAACATTGAGACAGTGAATAAATATTACAGAGACTATCTACAGAAACATCCCCAAATGACTAAAGCATTGAGAAAGTGAATAAATATTACAGAGACTATCTACAGAAACATCCCCAAACGACTAAAACATTGAGAAAGTGAATAAATATTACAGAGACTATCTACAGAAACATCCCCAAATGACTAAAACATTGAGAAAGTGAATAAATATTACAGAGACTATCTACAGAAACATCCTCAAATGACTAAAACATTGAGAGAGTGAATAAATATTACAGAGACTATCTACAGAAACATCCCCAAATGACTAAAACATTGAGAAAGTGAATAAATATTACAGAGACTATCTACAGAAACATCCCCAAATGACTAAAACATTGAGACAGTGAATAAATATTACAGAGACTATCTACAGAATCATCCCCAAATGACTAAAACATTGAGAAAGTGAATAAATATTACAGAGACTATCTACAGAAACATCCTCAAATGACTAAAACATTGAGAGAGTGAATAAATATTACAGAGACTATCTACAGAAACATCCCCAAATGACTAAAACATTGAGAAAGTGAATAAATATTACAGAGACTACAGAAACATCCCCAAATGACTAAAACATTGAGAGAGTGAATAAATATTACAGAGACTATCTACAGAAACATCCCCAAATGACTAAAACAGGGAGAAAGTGAATAAATATTACAGAGACTATCTACAGAAACATCCTCAAATGACTAAAACATTGAGAGAGTGAATAAATATTACAGAGACTATCTACAGAAACATCCCCAAATGACTAAAACATTGAGAAAGTGAATAAATATTACAGAGACTACAGAAACATCCCCAAATGACTAAAACATTGAGACAGTGAATAAATATTACAGAGACTATCTACAGAAACATCCCCAAATGACTAAAACATTGAGAAAGTGAATAAATATTACAGAGACTATCTACAGAAACATCCTCAAATGACTAAAACATTGAGAGAGTGAATAAATATTACAGAGATTATCTACAGAAACATCCCCAAATGACTAAAACATTGAGACAGTGAATAAATATTACAGAGACTACAGAAACATCCCCAAATGACTAAAACATTGAGAAAGTGAATAAATATTACAGAGACTATCTTCAGAAACATCCTCAAATGACTAAAACATTGAGAAAGTGAATAAATATTACAGAGACTATCTACAGAAACATCCCCTAATGACTAAAACATTGAGACAGTGAATAAATATTACAGAGACTACAGAAACATCCCCAAATGACTAAAACAGGGAGAAAGTGAATAAATATCACAGAGACTATCTACAGAAACATCCCCAAATGACTAAAACATTGAGAAAGTGAATAAATATTACAGAGACTATCTACAGAAACATCCTCAAATAACTAAAACATTGAGAAAGTGAATAAATATTACAGAGACTATCTACAGAAACATCCCCAAATGACTAAAACAGGGAGAAAGTGAATAAACATTACAGAGACTATCTACAGAAACATCCTCAAATGACTAAAACATTGAGAAAGTGAATAAATATTACAGAGACTATCTACAGAAACATCCCCAAATGACTAAAACATTGAGACAGTGAATAAATATTACAGAGACTACAGAAACATCCCCAAATGACTAAAACAGGGAGAAAGTGAATAAATATTACAGAGACTATCTACAGAAACATCCCCAAACGACTAAAACATTGAGAAAGTGAATAAATATTACAGAGACTATCTACAGAAACATCCCCAAATGACTAAAACATTGAGAAAGTGAATAAATATTACAGAGACTATCTACAGAAACATCCCCAAATGACTAAAACATTGAGAGGGTGAATAAGTATTACAGAGACTATCTACAGAAACATCCCCAAATGACTAAAACATTGAGACAGTGAATAAATATTACAGAGACTACAGAAACATCCCCAAATGACTAAAACAGGGAGAAAGTGAATAAATATTACAGAGACTATCTACAGAAACATCCCCAAACGACTAAAACATTGAGAAAGTGAATAAATATTACAGAGACTATCTACAGAAACATCCCCAATGACTAAAACATTGAAACAGTGAATAAATATTACAGAGACTACAGAAACATCCCCAAATGACTAAAACAGGGAGAAAGTGAATAAATATTACAGAGACTATCTACAGAAACATCCCCAAACGACTAAAACATTGAGAAAGTGAATAAATATTACAGAGACTATCTACAGAAACATCCCCAATGACTAAAACATTGAGACAGTGAATAAATATTACAGAGACTACAGAAACATCTCCAAATGACTAAAACAGGGAGAAAGTGAATAAATATCACAGAGACTACAGAAACATCCCCAAATGACTAAAACATTGAGAAAGTGAATAAATATTACAGAGATTATCTACAGAAACATCCTCAAATGACTAAAATATTGAGAAAGTGAATAAATATAAGAGAGACTACAGAAACATCCTCAAATGACTAAAACATTGAGAAAGTGAATAAATATCACAAAGACTATCTACAGAAACATCTCCAAATGACTAAAACATTGAGAACATCAGTCCACTGATGGATCCAGAATAGTTCTTTGAATGAAAACATAAAAGAGACAAAGGAATTAATAAAACATTGGTGGCTCCATAACTATTTTCCTATTCTGTAGGGGTGGATTATAATCAGGTTCATAACAGCTTTGATATGAGTACCCATGTATGTTAATGTAACTATCATCTTACAATTAACCTTTATCTTGTACGTCACTGGCAATCGATAACAATGATATCAAGCAATTACAGTATGACAAGGACCTCTCAATACAGATGTTCATAATATATATATATATATAGTTTATTGTTTTCTGGTTGGTATTTAGTTAATAAATTAAGATCCATTTTTACATCTGGTGATCTGTTTATTTGGCAATCGCCATGGCAGTCAGCAGGGTTTAAGAACATCCGTTGTTCGACCTGCTATTCAAATGCGTTTTGTTAAAATATACTTTTTCACTTTTTTGGTCTTTTGGAAAATGTTGTTTGTGCTGTATTTAGACCACTCTACCAAGAAATTTGTTTTGCATGCACACGTATAAAAATTGCGGTTTTTATCCAACGCAATCATAGGTTTGAAAGTTGTTTTCAATTTAGACTTGTATATATATATATATATATATATATATATATATATATATATATACAACTCGTCTAAACATCAGCCCAACAATGTTAGATCTGTAAATTTGCTTTCCGGCGAGGGAAGAACAAAAAATTTGCAAAAGCAAATTTACAGATCTAACATTGTTGGGCTGATGTTTAGACGAGTTGTATATACAGAATGTACACAGCCATGTATCACCATCACTGCTGTTGATCCAATGGATAAATCTGTTGTATATAGAGTTACTGGTTCAGACGTACTTATATATATTTATATATATACACATTTCCATTCATAAAATTAAAAATTTTAGGAATTTATTTTAATTAAAGTCAGTGAACAGAAACCAATTTCGGGATTTACGGATGAACAGACAAGGGAAAATCTTAATTCCCCCGACCTAAGAGATGCCGGTATATGTCATTGAGACAGCATCCCAGCAACACAAATAACAACAAAAAACGTTATAAATCATAATTCCATGACCAGAAAAAATGTAAAAATAGTCAAATTGAAAAGTTTTTCTTTTTTAAATGCAACTATCTCCTTAAAGTTTGAAGTTAGACTGGGAAGGATCAAGTTGGATATGATATTAGATCAAATTTCAAGCCCACCATATGATACAAACAGTGTCTTTTGTCATGTACTTGTCGACTGCCTTAGCCTAAAATTTGTTCTTATTTTTTGGTTCAATTCCATTTCTCTCATGAATAAAAATAACTAACCTTTTCTTTAGTTACACAGAGTAACTCAATTTGAAGTGTTAATTGTAATTTGTTATTACCTGGTTTGAGAGCAACCATTTGGAACGATGGTGCATCAACTATTTTCAGCATTTCATAGTTGTCCTGCCATTAATTTTATTTGAATGATCGTCCCCTTACAATTTAGATTTGTACTTATTTTCTAGTTTTTTTGGTGTCTGTATCTGTTCTTTAATATATATCCATGAACTAAATGATATGTTCATAATACAGAAACACATGAAAATATGTAGTTTTATGTCAACATAAACCTGTAACGATGCAATCATACAATTTGTATGCCCAAACCAAGGGCATTATGCTTTTCGGTCTGTGTGTCCGTTCGTTCGTCCATTCGTCCGTCTGTCTGTTCCGCTTCAGGTTAAAGTTTTTGATCAAGGTAGTTTTTGATGAAGTTGATGTCCAATCAACTTGAAACTTAGTACACATGTTCCCTATGATATGATCTTTCTAATTTTGACCCCAATTTCACGGTCCACTGAATTCAAGATATATAGCTTTACTTGAAGTTTCAAAATGCAGTTAAGCTTATTTATGCTTTAAATATTTTAGGTACAGATGAAGATGCCTGGGAATTAAATGAAGTGATTGCTAACTGGGCTGTTGAAGATCCTGAATCTGGTATCCTGTTATGTCAATGGGCTATAGGTAACAGATAGTGTAATATGCATAACTATGTATTCCTCCTACCTCACTTTTTTTGGTGAAAAGATGCCTTGGTTAAATGTTGTTTTCTTTATATTTAAACATTTAAACCAACCTGTAGCACTGGATATGTTAGGGCTCAACAATCTTGACCTACTGAATTTACATAATGGGTCCCCTTTACGGTTAATTTTAAGTGGGTTAGAATAAGTTCTGTGTAGAATTTATAAAGTGCCCCCCCTGATTTATGGTTTATTTTAAGAGGGTAAGAATAAGTTCTGTGTAGAGTTTATAAAGGGCCCCCCCCCTATGATTTATGGTTTATTTTAAGAGGGTTAAAATAAGTTCTGTGTAGAATTTATAAAGTGGCCCCCCCCCCCCCCCCCCCCCCCCCCATGATTTATGTTTATTTTAAGTGGGTTAGAATAAATAACAGATATTGGAATCGTTAATTTTCATGGATATCAATTTTAGTGGATAGAGGAAACCTTGTATTTTCTTGGATATTTTGATATCATGGACTTGCAAAAGTCTGTATACAAACCTTTAGAAAATCTGTACTTTGTTCCACATTTAAATTTTATATTTTACCTATGACCATGAAATCCACAAAAATGGGTATCCCACAAATAATAACAGATCCACAGTAATTATAGGATCCAGATAAATTTTATTTTTAAGTTGCAAGATATTATGGTTATGTTGAAAGAATCTTGAGCAGTGGGAAAATCTGATGTTACAATTGTATATACACTGTATCTAATGCTATAAATTCCAAAATATTCTATATGTATTTCAGAAGTTAACAATAATTAGTATTTTTAAGCATTTCAACTGTAAACTATACCTTTATAAACATTCAGAAGTACATTCATAAACATGTTCATTGCAGTTAATTTATAGTAACTAAACTTAACCATATAGGACAGGGCGTAGCTACCCGGAAGCATGACAGCACGTGCATCCACGTCATTTTCACCAAAAAAAAAAAAAAAAAAAGAAGAGAGAGAGTGGGGGACAAAGTTAACTTATAGGAATTGGTCTTTCTATGTATGTTTTTTAAAAACTACACAAAGAATAAAAGCAAGAGGAATAAACATGCAGCAAATTTTTAGTCCTGTAAGACATGTATGTGTACGATAAATACATACAACTGGTGTAAACATAGTGGAACTTTTTATATTACGGACATTGTTAAGAAAATACCAGCCACATAATTGTCGGTACCACCACCATAACGTATACTAGCCTTGAGTGCAAAAACAACATATAATCCCTTTAGGGTTAACAAAAAAACTTGAAAATTATTATTTTCCGCTTCGCCCCAAAGCACACATCTTACTAGAACGAAGACTCTTCAACTCGTATCAATCCGGGAATAACGACTGTTACCTTGTGAACTAGTTCAAAAATTGACCAAGTATGTAGGTCTTGACAACACGAATACTTCATTTTCACATCACGTCAACGTATTCTCGTCATGGTGTGCCTGTAATATTTGCTACTGGACATTAATAACCATTCAATCAATCAATAGTTTCCGTAAACTAATAGACGAGAAGTTGGAACTGCTGTTATAAAAAAAAAGTACACATTTCCAGTACATGTATTACGTTTTTTTATTTATTTTACAAAAAAACATCTTGTATACTGAACTATTTGGTCATTCAATTTTATAATAAATTTTCTGTCCGAGTCGAACACTAAACTGCGGATTCTTGTTCGAACGAAACACCAAACTTTTAATACACGTCTCTTCACTGTTATCATCTAGATATTGCTATACAACTTGTCGAATGCATATGTATTTGTTAATTAGCTGGATAATTAACAAACGCAGATCATGAAAAGATCGTGATCAAAGTACCATTCTCTCTGAAAAAGTTCCTTAATTTCAACTTCGAGAATTACATAAAATACATATGTTCAGCAAAATATTGGAGAATGTGTCCACCAAGTATTTGGTATCCAAAGATGTTTATGCTAACAAATTCCACATATAGTATTGTGTTTATGTTTATTGTTTGTTTTTTATCCATCTTCCTTGCTCAATACAAATACTAGCATATGGAACAAACCTCAGTGATTTTAAAAGCTCTCATGTCGTACAAAAAAGGCAAACGACAATGTTTAGTCTTCATTCGACTAGAGAAGTTATACAAATAGTTGACCAAAAAACCACAACAAAAATATACAAGTTTTATTACGGTTTTGATTGTTTTGAAACTCTATATATGCAGATTTTCCGGGGGGCTTCGCCCCACTGGCCCCCCTACCAGGGCTTTGCCTTGGACCTACTGGGGGCCTTAGGCGGCCCCAGACCCCTCGCTCTTTAGTTTGTGATTCCACTTCATTAAGAAGGTAGCTACGCCCCTGTAGGAAAAAGGAGACAGCTATAATTCACATTGTCAATTTTTGCATAAAAGATCATGAAAAATGTCAAAAGTGTTTTGCATTGTTTAGGTTACCAGCCTGGAGGGAATGACTTACTACCATACACTGAAGTAACATCTACAACAGCCTATAAAGAGTTCCCTTACAGTGTGTTAACAGGCTATACCATTTACACATCACTGACATGTGAAAACAAAGCTGGATTGTCTTCTGTTATGTCATCTAATGGAGTAAAGATTTCAAACCTGCCTCCTACATCCACAACAGCAGTTGTCCAGACATTGCCTTTGTCATTGACAGAATACAGTCCAAGGGACTCATACCAAGGTGTTAATGATAATATCAGACTCAAGTGGACTGGATTTGATGACAATATAGGAGTAGAAAGATACAAGGTAGATCGCCTAATTACATACCTGCCAACACACCAGTTCTAGGAGGGAAACTCCATCTTTTTACTTTAAAAATCAAGAATGTTACTTTAACTAATCAAATTCATTATTTTACATATGATTTTTTAAGAAAAATCTATGTACTAGAAATTGGAGATTTGATGATTTTTAGACAAATTAAAGAACAATTTTGGCTGATTTTAAATGCTTTTTATATAAATGGTCACCTATTTTGACAGAATTCAATCGGTAATATTTCAGAAAATAAAAAAAAATAAATGCATTATGTTTTCATATTCAGTTATGGTTCAACGAGCCAAAGTTTTATACAAAATTTTACCGAAATCTGTGACATAGCCCATTTACTGTAACGTTACTTGACCTTAAATGATCTCATGAAAGCGTATTCACCTCCAGTGCGGGATTTCATTGGTTCTAGATTTTGGCTGGGTCAAACCAAAGACTTTATAATTGTTATTCACTTCTTCTCCACTAAGCACACAGCATTAAGGAGTAAGAGCAAAGACCAGTCAGCTTGGAATCAGAATAATGTGTCTGGGTAGGGTGACATGTCTTCCTGCCAAGTTTAAAATCCGACTCAGTCTGTTGGTCTACTACAAAGCAGGGTTAATATTCATATTAAATTTCATGTCCTCGTCCTCATTATATATTTAATAAGCAGCCATCCATGATCATCATCAGCATCATCGTCAAATGTCCAAGTGTCTGTTGTTCTATTGATGAAATCTTTGATTATCCCCCTTTAGACAGTTTAACAATTTATTAACTCTTGCAACTGTTAATAATGTTAGTTTTGTGGGTTATAATCCTGAAACAGTTTTACACAGTAACATTTTTTCTGTAAATGAATTCAGTATGATTTTATTTTTTTTTTAATTTCAGGTGTTTTATCAAGATGATGGTTTATCAGAGTTAATGTTCTTTGCAGATGTACAAGATGTACTGTATGCACATTTTACAAAGATGTCTCTTACAGAGGGATCTCACAACTTCTCAGTACAAGCTATAAATAAACTGTTTAAACGCAGCAATAAAGCAACATTATATTCTATAACTATTATGTCATCGCCAAAAGTAGAGAGTAAGTTAATCATTATCATGTAATCTCTTTATTTCTCGGTTCCTTCTCGGTAAACATAGTGAATACTTATTCTTTTAGGGGTATTAGATTGCACTTGCTGGTTAGCTATAATTCAGCCTTGCCTATGATAGTAGAGGGCATTATGTTTTTTGGTTTGTGTGGCTTTCCGTTATTTGATCTGTACGTCCATCTGTTTGTGTCCTCTATTGGGTAAAAGTTTTAGTCAAGGTAATTTAACATGAACCGTGGTAATATCAACTTGAAACTTTATGCATATGCCCATTATGATGAGTACCTTTTAAATGGTAAACCAGATTAGTTTTGATGGTTCACTGAACATGGAAATGTAAAAGTGTGAGTGGGGTCCTATGAACCCATACTATTGTTTTAGTAAGTGCAGTAATGTGAACATTCTTTTGATCCTATCCATGCTTATGTCAAGCCAATTATTATTAATTGATACTTTGATATATAATTTACAAAATGATATGTATGTATATTACCATACTTGATAAGAAAACCATTTTATTTTGAATTACTTAAGTTGAAGAAAGTAGTGCATGATGACTGTTGTTCGTCCATGGTGTCGTCCATCTTTCTTCAACTTAAACTAATGGGGTTTTTATTGCCCATTGGCATCTCAATTTTAGCTTTCAAATTTTGTTTTCCAGCAACAAAGACCCTGACAATAAACTGGATCAATAAACAGGTGATTGTTTCATGGGACAATATTTTTACATCAGATAATGACATATTCTATGAAGTGTCGTCTGGTTCTACGCTAGGAGGGGTTAATATTATCCAATGGCAGGAAACCAACCAAACCAGTATAACATTTGGTATACCAGCATCTGTAGCAGCTATCAGCGGGTTACCAGTCCATGTAACAGTCACAGCCATCTCCGTAGGCGGATTTTCAGCAGTGAAAACAGGAACTTTCAAACTTCCATAGATATTATTTTTTGTCAGTTAACCAGTAACAACAAAAACTGAGACATATTACTTATGAAACTATAAATCCATAATTTTAAATATGGGCATTAATGACAATGTTTACTCAATTGCAAAAAGTTTTTTTTTTGTATCTTAAAACTTATTCACCAGTATAATACATGTAGGTACAAATAAATTTATTTTTATATGGAAGTAAAGTTTTTTACAAAAACTATTTAATAAAGAGAAAATTGAAATAAATTATATTTTTAATATTCAGATAGAGTGAGAGACCCATATTCGCCGCATAATTCGTTCATTTCCACTTACGTCTAACCTACATTCAAATATTTGGAACTTTTATGAAGGTTTCAGAAATTTAACTATATGAAAAAAATGTTTGATAAAGAAATTATCTTCAAAACATTGGTTAATTGTTCTAAAAACGAACGCAAACTCAAGAGGAAATCAAGTTGTTCATGTACCATGGGGGACACATTTTTGCCGCAATGTATGATATGACCATCCTCATTATCTTGGTATATTATAAAAACGAATGTTTGCAATTACATGAATTAGCTTGAGAGATCATTCCTATACGATTTTTCTCACAAATATTTACTTTAAGACTGCGCATGATTGCCAGATAAATCTTACATAATTGCCAAAATCATTTAAAAACACCTGCGTATTTCTCAGTATGTATGAATAACCTTAGAAATGGGGTAAAGAGGAATATCAACAGTTGTAACATTACAAACAGCCTTTACCATCTATTAAGGCAAGTATTGGATAAAGGCACACAAATTTTACAGAAAAAATGGCAAAACGGCGAATATGCGCCACCCACTCTATATAATAATTAAAATATATATAATATAATATAAAAAGTATTTTGCCAACTGTACCTATTTAAAGGACCTTTTATTTTTTATACTATTTTTCCATATTTGAAAATTTGGAAAACAGAACAAAAGTTCTAACAGTAGTAGCTAGATCTTACCTACCAAATTGATATTTTAACATCTAAAATGTCATCATTTACTGATTTGTTACAATTTTTTACCATGATTATAATATCTTTTTCCCGTCCAAATGTGTTATACTTATTGTTGCTTATTTTTTCATGTTATCTCGTTCATATTTGTGATATTTAAAAATAACTGTGATATTTTGAAAGTTGAGTTACTTTCTCATCTGGTGCAGAAAAATTGTTACCGTTTATGTTATTATGAATAATGTCTACCCAAAATCTCCTTTTATTTATATTTGTCATTTATGATTACGATCTCCTACATTTGTTTGTGCATCTGGTGCAGTATTATTGGTACTGTTAATGTTACTACAGTTTACAAAGGCATGTAATAACTTGTTTATTACATGTGCAGTAGTGAGTTTCAATTTGTTTTGGCAGATTCAAATTATTTCTCAGAGTAACTTTTCTTTGTTACCTAGACAACTAGAGGGAAGTAAACAAATGTATTCATGTCATTAAAATTTTAAATTACCTGTATATATTTATTTCAATTCCAGTACGTCACATATTTTTATAAACACTTTCTGCAATAGACTATAGTAAAAAAATATGAAATTGGACATATTCCTTAAGCATAACCTGGACTTGTTAAAATGTTGTACACACTTCTAATTTTGTAGATTTTTCTTCAAATAGCCTCAGACTTGGTCTTATTCAGATTGATTCTTATGTATCTATGATTGTTAATATTATGTTAATGTTCATTGATGGTCTTTTTCTCAAATGATACAAAATAAATTCAAAACAAATTATTTTCTTCTTTTATTTTTATCCTAAAAAGAAGGGGAAAAATACCAAAGGGGCAATAAAACTGTAGGCTTGTTTGATTGTTTGTGTTTAATGCCACTCTAGGGTGTATTGTGGCCAGTTTTTATTGGTGGAGGAAGCTGGTGTTTAATGCCACTTTCAGCACTCTAGGCTGTATTGTGGCCAGTTTTTATTGGTGGAGGAAGTTGGTGTTTAATGCCACTTTCATCACTCTAGGCTGTATTGTGGCCAGTTTTTATTGGTGGAGGAAGTTGGTGTTTAATGCCACTTTCAGCACTCTAGGCTATATTGTGGCCACCAGTTTTTATTGGTGGAGGAAGCTGGTGTTTAATGCCACTTTCAGCACTCTAGGCTGTATTGTGGCCAGTTTTTATTGGTGGAGGAAGCTGGTGTTTAATGCCACTTTCAGCACTCTAGGCTGTATTGTGGCCAGTTTTTATTGGTGGAGGAAGCTGGTGTTTAATGCCTCTTTCAGCACTCTAGGCTGTATTGTGGCCAGTTTTTAGTGGTGGAGGAAGCTGGTGTTTAATGCCACTTTCAGCACTCTAGGCTGTATTGTGGCCAGTTTTTAGTGGTGGAGGAAGCTGGTGTTTAATGCCACTTTCAGCAGTCTACTCTGTATTGTGGCCAGTTTTTATTGGTGGAGGAAGCTGGTGTTTAATGCCACTTTCAGCACTCTAGGCTTTATTGTGGCCAGTTTTTATTGGTGGAGGAAGCTGGTGTTTAATGCCACTTTCAGCACTCTAGGCTGTATTGTGGCCAGTTTTTATTGGTGGAGGAAGCTGGTGTTTAATGCCACTTTCAGCACTCTAGGCTGTATTGTGGCCAGTTTTTATTGGTGGAGGAAGCTGGTGTTTAATGCCACTTTCATCACTCTAGGCTGTATTGTGGCCAGTTTTTATTGGTGGAGGAAGCTGGTGTTTAATGCCACTTTCATCACTCTAGGCTGTATTGTGGCCAGTTTTTATTGGTGGAGGAAGCTGGTGTTTAATGCCACTTTCAGCACTCTAGGCTGTATTGTGGCCATATTGTGGCCAGTTTTTATTGGTGGAGGAAGCAAGAGTGACTCCTATATATCAGAGTTGAATCAAACACACCTGCCATGAGCGTGATTCATACATGTAACCTCAGTGTTGACATGCTAGTGATATCAGTACTTAGATCACTCGGTCACCAAGGCCTGCCCCCTCTTTAGGATGTAGAGTAACAAACAACAATCCACTATAAAACACCTTACAGAATAACCCAACCAAACCAACCAAAACTCCAGGATAAATTAAGGTGGTCCTAAACAGTTTGCAGTTTCTGCTCCATTGCTGGCTCCTATCATATCACAGAGAAGTTTAACCCAGAGATAAGTCACATTTGTTTTTAAGGTATAGAGGACAGGATTGTGGCTACACCATAATGGTCTACCAAATCATGTTGTGGTCCATTCCTTGTAAGCAGCATCCCAGCAGAATAACATTTTAGTGTAAAGTGCAATATGAACAAATGTGGTTCCTTTATATTTAGTGTTTCATTTAGAAATTATTGCATGCATTTATTATTGCGAATTTTGAAGAATGCATGAAATGTGAGATTTATTATTGTGATATCAGGAAAATCTGCAGACAGTTGAATGTATCAGATATCAAAATGCGAATTTTTATTATTGCGATACTGTAAATTCAGAAATTATTGCGAAAATGCGACAGGGTTATAATCGCAATAATTTAAACTTGCATTTTGAAATTTTTTATATGAATTGAACAGGATTTTTCTCAATTTCGCAAAAATTAAAATTGCATTTTAGTCTATAATGACAAAATCGCAATAATAACTGCACACAATAATTTCTGAATTTACAGTACTCATTCCGTCACATTATTCTCATTAATAAAAACCTTGCAATAATTTCTAAATTTACAGTCGTTAACATTTGTATAACCTATTTGGGTCAATATCCCTATTAGTGCAACTTAAATGGAGGTACTCAAATATAATATGAAAACAAAATGTCTCTATGTTACAATTTTTAAAGAGTGACAGCTGAACCATTTGTGCTAACTTAATGAGCACAGGACCATAGAATAAAGGTGTAAAACTTTTAAAAAATTTTTAAAGAACTTATTGTGTGAAAAAAGCAGTGTTCTTTCCAGGATTTTTGGATAGCACCAGGGTAATTCAGGAGACAAATTAGATATACACATCGCAACATATTTCCTCTGTCCATATGGTGGGTTCCCATAGAGTATACCACCATCTGTAGCAGCTATCACCGGGTTACCAGTCCATGTAACAGTCACAGCCATCTCCGTCGGGGAATTTTCAAATTTCCATAGATGTTATTTTTTCCAGTTAACCATTTACAACAAAAACTAATAAGTTCTTTGAAATTTGCTTCCCATTTTATGCACATTCAATTTAAAATAGCTGCTGCACAAATGCATTATATGATTAAGATTCTAAGAATGTTTTATTAATTCTAACGAGGAGTTTAAGAAGCAGATGCAGATACAAAAGTGAGACGGAATGACAAACAGACGACCTCTCCAATCACAAGGTTCTGCCCGCTTAATAAAGGAAGGAGATTATTATGGGTATTGCAAAAGTTTGTAAACTTGTTTTTTCTATATCATGTATTCATTCTAAAAACAAAAGTGTGCTTTCCTAATCGAGATACCAGGATTTGGTTTATTTGAAAAATGCTGTAATAATTCACACTGTAAAGATTTTTGTACAATATTTAATACATTAAGTTATAAATATATTATTTACATTGTAAGAGATAAACATAAATAAAAGCAACAACAAAAAGATATGAATGTGAACAATCACAAGATTAAGATTGATTGAATGAAACAAGATCATGTGACAGTCTATTTTTCTCAAGCAAGGATCCGACAATGCTCAATACATATCATGTGACCATGTTTCTCTTGCAAGGATCTGACAATGTTCAATACATATCATGTGACCATGTTTGTCTTGCAAGGATCTGACAAAGCTCAATATAGATCATGTGACCATGTTTCTCTTGCAAGGATCTGACAAAGCTCAATATAGATCATGTGACCATGTTTCTCTTGCAAGGATCTGACAAAGCTCAATATAGATCATGTGACCATGTTTCTCTTGCAAGGATATGACAAAGCTCAATATAGATCATGTGACCATGTTTCTCGTGCAAGGATCTGACAATGCTCAATACATATCATGTTTCTCTTGCAAGGATCTGACAATGCTCAATACATATCACGTGTATTTTTTATCGTAAGATTTTTTTGTGATGAGTTGCAGAATCTTAAAGCTAGTTCCATTATGAAAAGGCCACAACAATTAATATCCCAAAGCTAAATAATGAGATCTCTGTCTGTATACAGCTAAAAATGTACATGTCAACAGAATACTCAATACATTTGTGTACAGTTGAAATATTTATTGTATACAGATAAAAAATGTATTTTAACAAATAACTTTCCTTTGTATACAGCTGAAATTCTATTGATCAAACTTTATCTGTGTAGAGCTATTACATTAACTTTCATTTTTTTCATAGCTAAAATATTAGAATCTCTTTTTGTCATAATACACCTTATTGCTGTTTGTCCGCCATTGCTATACATCACAGAAGTTCCAATAAAATTTTGACATAACAAAAGAAAATGTCTGATGCCACAAAAGAAAAGTGATTGTTGTATGACATCAATAGTTCAAGTGTTGCAGATTCCCAAAGAGCGATAAGGTCTAGTGTGGAAGTAACAAACCATTGCAAATCATCATATTTTAAAAGATGAAACATGATGGACTGAAAAAGGATCTTTTCAGTCATGAAGAAACAAAGACTACAGTGTTTGCTTCAGTTTGTCTCTTAGTATTATGTATTATGCATTATCATATTTTAGTATGAAAAATCAACAGCAAGGTTTTTTTTTAAATGGTAAAACAAATGACCAAATAAGGAATATTTTGGGGAATCATGTGTTTTAAGGTTGGGTCAACTACACTACAAATAACTATATTAAACAGGCAAAGGGAGAGGTTTGTGTACACATAAAACTGGTTTGACCCCACTAAATGTCATGCCTGTATCAAGTGAGGCTATCTGGACCCTGTGTTGTTGGTACATCTTTTTCTGGATGAGTAGGATGTTTGTGGTCTGTTGTACTAACCAACAATTTTAGCAATTCCTGTTATCCTTTTTTTATGTATTGTGTTGATGAAATTTGATTTTCAAGAATAAGTATTTGAACTGCTTTCAAAAGTTTTACAAGTCTGAAGAAAATCATGTTTAAGGAACAAAATCACTGTAAAGTGTACCTATATAAAGTCATCTCCAAAATAAGTTCTCAGGAGTTTGATAAATCATGCATTCAATTCTGTTGTCATTATTTGAAACAATCATGTAAGATTGCAGAGAGAATATGAATTTTTGCTGAGCTGCATAGAATTAAAAGCATTAGTACAGAATTATATATGTAAACAACAAGAAACACCATCGATATTGAATCTGACACATCTTTCATACAACAAACTTAAAAACCTGTAGATTAACCTGTCTAAATGTGCTGCAATCTACACATTTTTTTTTAAGTTGATTTTACAATGCTTGAAAATTATATAATGGAAACAACAGTAATATTTCCATTCTGTACACCTCTGGTTTTTACACAGACAGGGTTACTATTGTGGATCACATTTATTATTGTCTAAATACTCTACTGATGTCAGTTTTCACTGGTCTCCTCTCTTTTGTCCTGTATGAGAAAACTTTACTGACATCAGTCCTCACTCGTCCCCTCAGTTTGGTCCTCTATGTTCATATTCTCTGTTAGTTCCAATATGTGTTCTACTGGTTGAGGGCGTCCATCTGGACCCACCACACTAGGCTGGATAATTCCACCTCTGAAATATAAAGATACAATTTGTAAATGATCTGGAATCATAATGGACCCACTACACTAGGCTGGATAATTCAATTCCACCTCTGAAATATAAAGATACAATTTGTAAATCATCAACAATCATCTTGGGCTCACCACACTGGACTGGATAAAATGGCTGCTGAAAAAACAAAGATACAGTCTCCTCCATTGGTAAATTATCTGGAATCAATATGAAAATTATCTTGTGTCATAAAGGATATACCACACTGTACTGGTTATATGATCTCTGAAAAACAAATAAGATCTTGAATAGTAAATCTTTCAACCGCTTCAGTCATGCTTCAGTGATTCCCTATATAATCAACTAAATTTTTCCCACAAAAGGGGAGGCCCGGCCCCCCAGGGCCCCCCCTAGATCCCCCTATGTAAACTATCTGTCATGATTGCACTCAACTGGACGATATCAACACTCAAATAAACAAGACAAATGCATACGATTGATTGAGGTAACATGTATACATTGTACTGGAGCATAACTGATCATTCCCTTTCACTGAAGCCTTGTACAATGAGTGTTGTAAAATTTCAAACTATGGGCAAACAGGAAGTGGCTACATGGCAGATGTAAAAATTTCTTACTCACAACAACTTAACATTATAAAGCTGCAGACCAAATATTAAATCATTCCCATTACATAGAAGCCAAGAAAATTTTGTTGACACAGAGTCGAGCGGTTACTAGACCTGCTTCCGCCTTCACTAATGCAGATAAAATGAAAGGATATAATGCAGATAATAAGCTTTTCTGTACATTATTGCTGTTTACAGTTAACTCTATCTATAATAATATTCAAGAAATTAACCAAAACCTGCCAAATTTTCTTAAAATTACCAATTCAGGGGCAGCAACCCAACAAAGTGTTGCCTGATTGGTCTGAAAATTTCAGGGCAGATAGATCTTGACCTAATGAACAATTTCATCCTCATCAGATTTGCTCTAAATGCTTTGGTTTCAGAGATATGAGCCAAAAACTGCATTTTACCCTATGTACTATTTTTTAGCCATGTCAGCCATCTTGGTTCGCGGGCGGGGTCATCGGACACATTTTTTAAACTAGATACCCTAATGATGATTGTGGACAAGTTTGGTTAAATTTGTCTCAGTAGTTTCAGAGGATAAGATTTTTGTAAAAGATTACAAAAATTTACGAAAAATGGTTAAAAATTGATTATAAAGGGCAATAACTCCTTAAGGGGTCAACTAACCATTTTGGTCAAGTTGACTTATTTGTAGATCTTACTTGCTGAACATTATTGCTGTTTACAGTTTATCTCTATCTATAATAATATTCAAGATAATAACCAAAAACGGCAAAATTTCCTTAAAATTACCAATTCAGGGGCAGCAACCCAACAACGGGTTGTCAGATTCATCTGAAAATTTCAGGGCAGATAGATCTTGACCTGATAAACAATTTTACACCATGTCAGATTTGCTCTAAATGCTTTGGTTTCAGAGATATAAGCCAAAATCTACATTTTACCCCTATGTTCTATTTTTAGCCATGGCGGCCATCTTGGTTGGTTGAAACTAACATTTTTTAAACTAGATACCCCAATGATGATTGTGGCCAAGTTTGGTCAAATTTGGCCCAGTAGTTTCAGAGGAGAAGATTTTTGTAAAAGTTAACGACGACGGACGACGACGGACGACAAGTGATGAGAAAAGCTCACTTGGCCCTTTAGGCCAGGTGAGCTAAAAAAGCCAATAGCAGCTGATTTGGAAATGTTGTTAAGACAAATAATTTAAGGAAAAGAAACCTGAGTAATAAGTTTGTTTTGCTTTAAACAAACAAATTAAAAAACACTTACCTTAGAGTCTGACAATAAATTTTATATATAAAATACCTTTGCAGTTTGTCCATGGCATTGACTAGTTTCATTGCTTCATATTCTTTCTGTTCATCAGACATCCCTTCGAATGGATTTGATTTCTCTGTTTCATATCTCCCTGTTACAGGATTGACACTGAAATAAGATCAATCATGCAATTTGTATATCTTTATGTCCCTGTTAAAACTCAATATTAATTAAAAAGACAACATCGAGTTCATATACAGTAACTATATATTGCAAACATGTAACCAACTTTTCACATCAAGCAACTACCCTAAAACTGAACAGAATATACATTAAATGTGTCTTTATCTTTGAATGTTAAACATGTTGAAATAATCAGAAACTTTAAGTATTCTACAGTGGCAACTTTATGGCCATAGATAAATAGCACTAATTAATTGCGACAGCTCTTTAGAGTTCATTCAGATGCGAAGAAAATATTTATGATAACAAGTGTCAAGATCAAAGTTCTTGTAATGTCTAATACACAAATAATATCAAAATTAGCCTTTTAACAATCCCCCTTTAATTACTATTGTATTAATGTATTTTTAAACTAACACAGGTGATACTTCTTCTCACATGTAATTTGTAATTTTATTTTTAATTATTTTTCCCCTTAATTCTCTTTTGTTTTTTCCACTCATAGCTGTGATCTTTTTTCTTGTTCTGTGCTCATTTGGCCTGGACAATTAGGGTGAGGGGGAAATATATCAATTAAAAGTTATTATGTCTTTTTACATTATTGTACAATAAGATCCACATAAAAGGAAAAGATATGAGAAAAGGAGAAAGGGATATAATAAAATTTCTCTTCCGCAACATTTATCTATCATAATAAAAAATACCAGTAACTAAAGGATGTACAAGTTAGCAACTAAAGGTCACTGTATGACCTTCAAGGGACAAACATTTCTTCAAGGTTAGACATAACTACCTTTCTTTCAGATGTGAATATTCCTCTGTTTCTGAGTCATCAGAATTACTGGAGTAATTCCCATCAGATTTACCACCCAGTAATAAACCTCTGTTAGCTAACAGTCCTGCACAGTTACCATACCCAGTATACTTTACCATACGCTGAACTACAATGCAAAATATATCAACCTTCAACTCAATATCATTTAAAATGGTTAAAATAATTATATTTTTCTGAACACAAAAAAGTTGTCAAAATCAAATGGTATAAAGATTTTAAGTTTGTGTTCATTTTTCTTGAAAATCCCGGTTATAGCCATTTACAAATGATTAAAGGGCTGTTCCATAAAAACATACATGTGACCCAGGGAAGGCAACTTAAATTTTCAACTATGGGTGGGTATGAAATATTGTGTTGTACGGGTTTAAATGTATGCAGGACTTTAAAAACGCTTCTATGGGTGTTCACTCTGTTTGCAAAGTGCCTTCCCTGTGTGCAATGTATGTTTTAATGGAACAGCCATAAGCACTATTTCATCTCTAAAGACCAGTCATAACATACATTTCATTTTCCCATATATCTTCCCTGAACTACTGTTTACTTTTTTTCAATAAAAAATTAGTGCTTTCCTGTTCTTAGTTTTGGTTAAGTTCATGGCATCAAATTTCTTCTCGCTTTGTCATTATGAAGGAAGGACAACATGAAGGTGACCACACCAGAGTCACAGAAAAAGAACACAAGTTTTTAAGAAATTGAGAATAAAAGATTATTTAAGAAACTGATTCAACAATTGGTTAGGCTACATCATCTCTACTATTAAATATTTTACTTCTTTTGAGTTGAGAAATGTTTAGTTATACACATTATACAACTACTTTTTTACAAGGAAATAACTGTTGTTTATCTTACCACTTTCTTTGCACATAACAAACAGAAAATCTGCAACCAAATCTTTTACTTCTGTTATTGGTGAAGTTAATAATTTACACAACCTGAAAGTAATAAGATTTTACAATTACACCTCATATTGGTGTTATGGTATTTTACAATTACTGACTATAAACCTCATCTAGTGTTGAAGGTTTTTATGATTACTGTCTGTAAACCCTATCTTGGTGTTATGGGTTTTTAATTATTATTATCTTATGTATGGTTCATACATGTAGGTTTGTAATACAGAATTTGGAGGGAAAAATAGTTCTATTTAACTGCTCGTTGTTATATAAAATATAAGTCCCTATAACAAACCTGTTTCTAAAAGACTCTCCTTCTTCTGGTAACTTCTTTACTTCATCCTTCAAGGGAGGTAACACCTGAAATAATAAAAACATCATTATGCTGAAGTCACAGGATCTTTATGACACAAATTTTAAAACAATGTGACTGATGCTAAAAACTATCATCATCTTAAATATCTGAATTGTGACAAATACTGACCTATATATATAACTATCTAAGTTGCAAAATGTATGTCTGATGTCAATGTTTGGTTGTAGGATTAATCAACAGTTGTTTTGTTTTTCCTGTTTTTCCTGCATTTGTTGCTCCAAAAAGTTTCTTGTAAATATTACTGAATTATACCTACTCTATTGACCTTGATTTATTTCAATGGTGAATTTCTAATCCATTTCTAGAAATGTGTGAAGTAACTTTGATCCATACACTTTTTCTTTATACATTATTTTCATGTATACTTCACAAGAATTTTGTGGTTGTTGCCATAACAGTATGTAAAATATTTTCCAGAACATTTCTTTTATCACAACAACAAAAAAACATTTGACTAAACAGACCAAAGCACTTATCCTGTCAATAACATTTGGACATCCAGTGCAGAATTAAGGTCAGTTATAACTACTCCACTTAAATTGGTGTTGATTTCTCGTTATCTAAAAACTGAATAATACGTTAAAAATTGCTCTAATTTGAAAAAATGTTATAAGCATTCAGTGTAAAAATGAAGTTTTATGCATTTATTTAAGCCCTATACACTTTGAAATGTCCACTTGTACAACAGTGCATACATTACCTAGACCTATAGTATTAAAAAAAATAAATGGGGAATGTGTCCATGGGACACAGATGATGCCCCCGCTTGCATCTAACGTTATAAAGGGATATACCTCAAGAACTGTAAAAGTGACGCTACCCAAATTTGTACTTGATCTGAGTTTTGTGCTAATAAGCATTGTGCATAAGTTTCATAACATTAGGTTGAGGCAAACTAAAGTTAGAGAACAGTAACAAATATTTCAGGAATTTTTCCATTTGTAAAGGGGCATAACTCTAGAACGGTCAAAATTTAAAGGGGCATAACTCTAGAGCGGTAAAAATGACACCACCAAAATTCAATCTTGATTTGTGTTTTGTGGTAATAAGCATTGTGTATAAGTTTCATAACATTTGGTTGAGGCAAACTAAAGTTAGAGAATGGAAACGAAAAATTAAGGAATTTTTCCATTTGTAAAGGGCATAACTCTAGAACAGTATAAGTGACGTCACCAAGATTCTAAGTAACTTGATCTCTATTTTGTGGTTATAAGCATTGTGTATAAGTTTCATAACATTTAGTTGAAGCAAACTTAAGTTAGAGAATGGAAACGAAAAAATTCAGCAATTTTTCAATTTGTAAAGGGGCATAACTCTGGAACAGTTGAAGTAACGTCACCAAAATTCAAATTTGACCTGTGTTTTGTGGTAATAAGCATTGTGTATAAGTTTAATAACATTTGGTTGAGGCAAACTAAAGTTAGAGAACGGAAACAAAAAATTAAGGAATTTTTCCATTTGTAAAGGGCATAACTCTAGAACAGTATAAGTGACGTCACCAAGATTCTAACTTGATCTCTATTTTGTGGTAATAAGCATTGTGTATAAGTTTCATAACATTTGGTTGAGGCAAACTAAAGAAAGAGAACAGAAACGAAAAATTCAGAAACTTTTCCATTTGTAAAGGGGCATAACTCCAATTTTGGGACGTATGTACGTACATACAGACGGACAAGAGTAAAGCTTAATGCCCCCTCTGCTACAGCGGGGGCATAAAAAGTTTGTTAACATGACACAAGAAAATTTTAGCCCTCAAGTTGTCTGACCAGTTTTACAGGTTATCTTTTCATATAAACAATACCTACCCTAGCTCTACAGAATTTTCTGATTGATCTGTTTGCACGACACATTTCATATAAACAATACCTACCCTAGCTCTACAGAATTTTCTGATTGATCTGTTTGAACAACACATTTCACATAAACAGTACCTACCCTAGCTCTACAGAATTTTCTGATTGACCTGTTTGCACGACACATTTCACATAAGCAATGAAGTATTGGAGTAAGACTCTCCTTGAGTGATTTATAAGGCTGAAAAAAATAAAAGAATTAATTTAATTGCCATTAACTGTGTACAGAAGTAAAAAATGTAAACAACATCGTAACTGTAGATCAGCTTTATACATGAATCAGGCGTTTCTCATTTGAAGTGTTTTACATTTGTCGCTTCAGGGCCTTTTATAGCTTGCTATGCTGTATTGGTTTTGCTCATTCTTGAAGGCCATATTCATGTATAAAACTGATCTACAGTTACGATGTTGTTTACATTTTTGCTAACTTTCATGTCATTTGGTCTCTGGTGGAGAGATGACTCATGGGCAATCATACCAGATCTTATTTTTATATATAGATAATCTGAGATATACCAGCATTTCTTAGTAAATATAAAACTGTCGATTTCAATTTTATGAACGCATATTTTCAGGAACGTTCTTGCATTGAGAATTCTGCAAATGGATTTTCTTAGGCAGATACTTGTCTTATTAATTCTCTATTCTAATCCAAAACAAGTTGATTTTTTCACAAGTGAAAGATGTTATTTAAAAATTTTCAACATATACTTACCCTATCAAGTCTACTGAATAGAAAATTTAATAAAAGTATTATTGCTTCCATATTTCTACCATCATATTCTACTTCCTTGTTTTCCATGCCCTCTATATCCATCTCATTCAGGGGAATTAATAACTCCTCATAACAGTCTCTAGGTATATTGGTTAACAGGTTAACTGTGTGGCTGGAAACAAATAAAAAACAATAAACTGTTATTTATTGTGAGTTTTTATCAATGGAAATAATGTGACTGTGATAGTAATGCAGTAAAAAGAACTTGCATTCTGATATCTCATACATATATATGTAGGAGTCTAACTGCGATGGTACTCCGAACTGCAATGGTCACGCTGAGGTGCGATGGTTTGACGCTGAAGTGTGATGGTGGGATTGTGATGCTATCTTGTTATATCTACATCGAAGTGTGAAGGTGGTAACGCTGAAGTGCGAGGTATTACGTAAATCAATGATCACATGTCAATGTAGAAGTCAGTCTGTTTGTTGGAAGTAGGTCATTTTTTAGTAACAACAAACAAAAGAACTATGTCAATTGGACCTGCTTTGATACGATAAATGCTCTTGAAATTTTATAAGATAACATTTTTGTTTGCTATGGAGATTCAGTATATCGTCAAGTTATCGGAATTCCAATGGGGACTAACTGTGCACCACTTATTGCAGACCTGTTTCTGTATTGTTATGAGTTACAATTTATGACTAAAATCAGCAAAGACCCATCGAAACAACATCTGATACAAAAATTTTAGATATATTGGCTCTCAATAATGACGACTTCAGTATGTACACTAAAGAGATTTATCCTGCTGAACTGACTTTAAATAAAGCTAATGCTAACAATGAACACTGCCCTTTCCTGGATCTTGATATCTTATATCTTTAACAGGAAGCTTAATACCAAAATTAACGATAAAAGATGATTTTTCCTATTGTTAATTATCCATTTTCAGATGGTGATGTTCCCTTGCCACCATCTTGTGGTGTTTATTTATCTCAACTTGTTTGATTCGCTCTTTTTTGTAAAAAATTATTTGATTTTAACGAAAGAAATCTCTGTATTACTGAATATTATTACACCAGGGTTTTCGATATCACAAACTAGTCAAAACAATTACTAAATTTTATCATCGGTACAAGGACATCATTCGTAAATATAAATCAACATGCAGACATCTTATACATTCAGGTATTTCACATCCAATCTTTTATGGTAATATTCTATACAAAGCACAAAAATGTCGACATTCACCTCAAAAGCTAACCAAACCTTTAAACAGACTTATTCAGAAGGGATATAGTTACGATACTGTTGTCAGGTCATTAAAGATGGCATATTTTGGAATTAATATTTATTCACTCATAGGGTCTTTGCATCGGAAATAAACACATTTATTCTAAAACCAGTTGTTGGCATGATATGGGTTATGTTCTTCTCATATATTTTATAATGGTAGGATACTATATATTTTATAATGGTAGGATACTAAACCCTAACGAGAGGGATTGTTCTTGATTTTCAAATGATAAAGGCATAATCTTTCAATCAGTTTAATTGAGGTCTGGAGCTGGCATGTCAGTAACTGCTAGTAGTCCTTTGTTATTTTATGTTTCATTGTCATTTTGCTTAGTTTCTTCTGTTACCTATTAGACTACAGACTCGGACTTCTTTTAAACTGAGTTTTACTGTGCGTATGTTTGTTTATTCTACATTGGCTAGAGGTATAGGGGGAGGGTTGAGATCTCACAAAACATATTTAACCCCCTCCTCATTTTTGTGCCTGTCCCAAGTCAGGAGCCTCTGGCCTTTGTTAGTTTTGTATGTTTTTTCAATTTAAGTTCACTTATATGTTTCGGAGTTTAGTGTGACGTCCATTTTCACTGAACTAGTACACATTTTTGTTTAGGGGCCAACTGAAGCCGCCCTCTGGGTGCGGGATTTTCTCGCTGTGTTGAAGACCCATTGGTGGCCTTGGGCTGTTTTCTGCTCTGTGGTCGGGTTGTTTTCTGTTGGACACATTCCACATTTCCATTCTCATTTTTATTTCAGTTTTATTAATGTAAAACATCAAGAGTATATTAACCTGTTTAAACAGTCATGATAAATAGTCATTGCCTTTCCAGTCCTAACTGTAACGTTGTAGTGTACTTTGTATATAGCCTCAGACAATTATTTATTATAGTTCATACAATCATTTAGATATTGACCACTATAGACGCTACATAAAGGGTTATTTTCCTTAAGAACCAGTTTATTGCAATGACTTCATTTTCACGACTTTCATTTAACCGCCAAAATTAGCAAAAATAAACACCCCACGAAAATAACCCGCTATACGGTAATGCAGTCATTTTTGTCAGTATTTATCAGTGACATGATACAACACCTCAGATTTACTCACCTGGTTAATTCCTCTTGTCTATCTTTAGATAACGTTTTAACCATCAACAAATCTCTCAACACACTGACAAGTCTCATAAAATGTGCTTCTTCTTCCTGGAATACAAGTTATTTAATATTCTAAGAACTATTATTAGGTAGACATTATAATCTATACAGTACTTGAATTTTTTCCATCCTTACCCAATTTTCATGTGACTTTTTTCAACTCACCAAAACGATTTCTACTGGTCAACTCTGGCTAGTGACATATCTTCGGACTGTGTAACTGAAGGACCTCAGAAAACGTCAATTGTTTTACATTCAAAGAGAAATCTAATTGTACATTAATTAATTTTTTATGTGTTTTTTTTTTGGATGAGTTGATTGTCGACTTCATGGTTTGAAACTACTTATATAACCATACAAAGTATACTGGGGTATATCATGAAGAAAAGCTGATTGACGAATATGAAAAGTACTTTTTATTTGACAAGGTTTGGTTTGCTACTAGGTACTAGTCTAAAATCTTATTATTATAACGGTGCGAATCAAATGAATAAAAAAAGTAATTATTATAATACCTCATCCAATGTGTTTTTATCCACTGTTACAGTTAAATTAAACAAGATTTTAAGGATTTCACAGATCAGGTCTACTTCTTGGTCTACCAAGCCTGTATTTCTACTCTCTGCATCTCGTAACGTCAGATCTACAACTTCCATTAAGTAGGTAAAGCCATGTAACTCATAACGAATCTTTGGTCTATGAACATAAAACAATAAATTTTTAGTAAAACTTTTCTGCAAATAGAAAGATAACCATTCAAAAAAACTTTGTTTTTGTAAAACAAATAAGAAATTAACAAGAATTAGTCCATAGTACACAGATGCCCCACTCGCACTATCATTTTCTATGTTCAGTGGACCGTGAAATTGGGGTCAAAACTCTAATTTGGCATTAAAATTAGAAAGATCATATCATAGGGAACATGTGTACTAAGTTTCAAGTTGATTGGACTTCAACTTCATCAAAAACTACCTTGACCAAAAATTTAAACCTGCCCACTCGCACTATCATTTTCTATGTTCAGTGGATCGTGAAATTGGGGTCAAAACTCTAATATGGCATTAAAATTAGAAAGTCATATCATAGGGAACATGTGTACTAAGTTTAAAGTTGATTGGACTTCAACTTCATCAAAAACTACCATGACCAAAAATTTTAACCTGAAGCAGGACAGACGGACGAACAAACGGACGCGCAGACCGAAAAACATAATGCTCCTAGGTAGGGTATAAAAACTGAATTTTTTGCAAGTCTACTGTTGTATTGGTACTTCTGTTACCTATAATGTATCAAACAGAGTAATTCAATACAAAAACAGCATAATAATAAAATGCTTCGCTGGGGCGCAGCTTGATACGACCGCAGAGGTCTAACCCTGAACAGTTGGGGCAAGTATGGACACAACATTCAAGCTTGATACAGCTCTGAATTTGGATTGTTATTAAATATTTGACACAGCATAGGTTTCTGACACAGAAAGAATGTGGTCTAAGAACTTGAATTTTTTTAATTTACCTATTATGGTCCAATGTCCAAAATCAAAATACATGGTTAGATTCAGCATATCAAAGAACCCCATATATTCAATTTTTGTTAAAATCAAACAAAGTTTAATTTTGGACCCCAACTTGGACAAACTTGAAAACTGGGCCCATAATCAAAAATCTAAACACATGTTTAGATTCAGCATATCAAAGAACCCCAAGAATTCAATTTTTGTCAAAATCAAACTAAGTTTAATTTTGGACCCTTTGGACCTTAATGTAGACCATTTTAAAAAACGGGACTTAAAATTAAAAATCTAAGTACACGGTTAGATTTGGAATATCAAAGAACCCCAATAATTCAATTTTTGATGAAATCAAACAAAGTTTAATTTTGGACCCTTTTGACCTCAATATGAACCAATTTGATAGCAGGGCCTACAAATAAAAAATCTAAATACATGGTTAGATTCAGCATATCAAAGAACCTCATATATTCAATTTTTGTTGAAATCAAACAAAGTTTAATTTTGGACCCCAATTTGGACCAACTTGAAAACTGGGCCCATAATCAAAAATCTAAATACATGTTTAGATTCAGCATATCAAAGAACCCCATATATTCAATTTTTGTTGAAATCAAACAAAGTTTAAATACTGGACCCTATCTTGGACCAACTTGAAAACTGGGCCCATAATCAAAAATCTAAACACATGTTTAGATTCAGCAAATCAAAGAACCCCAAGAATTCAATTTTTGTCAAAATCAAACTAAGTTTAATTTTGGACCCTTTGGACCTCAATGTAGACCAATTTAAAAAACAGGACCCAAAATTAAAAACCTAAATACACGGTTAGATTTGGAATATCAAAGAACCCCAATAATTCAATTTAAGATGAAATCAAACAAAGTTTAATTTTGGACCCTTTTGACCTCAATATGAACCAATTAGATAACGGGGTCCACAAATAAAAAATCTAAATACATGGTTAGATTCAGCATATCAAAGAACCCCATATATTCAATTTTTGTTGAAATCAAACAAAGTTTAATTTTGGACCCCAATTTGGACCAACTTGAAAACTGGGCCAAAAATCAAAAATCTAAATACATGTTTAGATTCAGCATATCAAAGAACCTCATATATTCAATTTTTGCTAAAATCAAACAAAGTTTAATTTTGGACCCTTTGGACATTAATGTAGACCAATTTGAAAACTGGACCCAAAATTAAAAATCTAAATACACTGTTAGATTCGGCATAACAAATAAATAAATGTGATCAAAGATTTTACAAATCTAATGCGCCATACTGTGCAATTAAAGATTACTTCTTGAAATTTTTCAATATTTGAAATTTGAAAAAAAAATAATATTTGAAGAATAATTCTTTTTAATTTCTGAAATCTGAAATGAGAAAAAATTGGCCCCCCACAATTTCTTTTTATCCCCCCCCCTTTTTCCCCCAAAAAAATTCTTTCCCTCAAGATATGGTCATAATCTCAATTCAAATTTCCAATGGAGTTGGCAACCATAATTACCCATTTAAATTTACCATAGTGCTAACTTAATCTATTTTATAATAGAATTAATAAAAATATAGTGTCAAATCTTTCATATGGATTTTTTTGTAAAAAAAAAAGATGAAAACATTTGCAGATTTTTACTGGTCTTCCTTTATAAATATGCATTTCTTTAAACATAATTTAAAAGCAGTGTAAGGGAAGTAACCAAAACGTTGTATTTGGATTACCTCCCTTACACTGTTTTAGATTATCTTTATTGTTCATTAACCATTACTTTATACATAATTTAAAAGCAGTGTAAGGGAGATAATTTCAATGATGTATTTGATTTATCTCCCTTACACTGCTTTAAATTATGTTTTGTACTAAAGTATTTGTCCATTAACCAGGACAACCTTGTTTTTCCCCCTTTTTTGCCCCTAATTCCTAAACGGTTTGAGCCATAACCCCCCAAAGCAAATCCTAACCATCCCTTTGTGGTATGGAAACTTGTAGTATAATTTCAGAGAGATCCATACACCGTTCCACAGTTATTGTCTGGAAACTAGAAAATGCTCATTTTTGGCCCCTTTTTGGCCCCTAATTCCTTAACTGTTGGTACCATAACCCCCAAAATCAATCCCAACCTTCCTTTTGTGGTATTTAACCTTATGGTCAAATTTCAAAAAGATCCATTCACTTAAACTAAAGTTAGAGTGCGAAAACCAATATGTATTCGGACGACGACGCCGGACGACGACGACGACGCCAGACGACGACGACGACGACGACGACGCCAACGTCATACCAATATACGACCACAAAATTTTTTTGCGGTCGTATAAAAATCTTACTTGGTACAACTTTCCAAAAATTATAAACAAAATGTGTCTTTATGGAGACAACTTTGTGACGTGTTCCAAAATATAATGACAATGTGTGTCTCTTTGGGGGCAATGTGTAAATAGGTAACACCACAATAATCACTGTGTAAAAGATTCACTTACCTGGTATCAGAACATAATGCTGTCAATAAAAATAACATCCTCATATCAAAAAACTTAATTTCAAACTTTAATGCTGGATCTTTGTAGGTTTTTAACCTCTGTATCGTTCCTTCCACACAACCATTTTTACTGCAAGTAAATATATATAGTATTATATGTAAATTCTTCATAACAAATCACATGGTAGATCATATCAAAACTAGATAATTTATACTTCCAAGGCTTTCTTGTCTTTTTCTTTTTTTGCCATGACATTTGCAGTTTATTTTGACTTATGAGTTTGAATGTCCCTTTGATATCTTTCACCTCTCTTTTACAAGTGAGATGTGGATATGCTCGGTACTATAAACCAGATCTATTTGGGATTTTTCAAACTGACAAAACATGTGTGAATATCAGATTACGAGATTTTAATCAATATGACAAATTATGATTATCAAATGAGAGAAATGTGAAATATAAATAAGAGAAAATGAAGATCTCAAGTTAGATTGTGAACCTAACGTGGGAAGAAACTTACCTACAATATCTTTAGGATCACATGACAAGCAAATAAGTCAGGAGTACTATACCAATTATAAACATAAAAGGAAATAGTGTTTTAGTCAAGAAACTAACATTTTGTCATCTTAATAGAATGTCACTGTAGCAGTTTTCAATTTCTATTCGGGAACAAGGAGTTAACATTGATGAAAATGCTGTAAATGATTTAATTTATTTTTTGTCATATATCTAATATTTTTCATTAATGAGTAAATAATATCAAACATTGTATCATCACAAAATTTTCTCACATGCTTGACTATATTTCAATTTATGCTTTCAAATTGATGTCTTTAATCCTAAAGGTTGCACTTCTGTAAATATAGACAATGTAATTTTCATTGGAACTCCTTCTATGGCTAAAACTGTGCCACTTCTACTATGAAGTTTTGTAAAAAAATTATATCCTAGAAAGGAAAGTTCATATCACTATGCACTTCTATTTTTTACAAAGGTCAAAACATAGGGCTGTGCAGCATATTTTCAGCATTTATATGCCTCGAACTTCTAAGAGTTTAAACTTATACTAAAATTCTGTACTACCCCTCCCTTCACTTTGGGTCTTTCTCAAAATTCAATTTGGCCCCTATTCATGTGTATTTATACTGGGAAAATTCCCAAGTTGGGTCTCCATGAGATGAAACATAGAGATCATATCTGGGAATCAGTAGGTAAACAAAACAAAATATCTATGAATCTATATTACTAAATGAGAAGACCTCATTTTGTATGTCGCTTCTCTTCCTTCCACAATGAATTAATCATCATGCATCTGTGTCCTATAGGTACCATGCATAGTCGCATTTATCATCCTCGCTTATGATTATTCAGTTTGGCTTATTTTGTGAGAAAAACGAAAATAAAGGCTTCCGGATATTGTTTCCATCATCGGACGGACTTTTAAGTCATAGACAAGACTTCTGTTTAGAACTGTTTTAAAATTACACATAATTTTCATAAGGGGGCTACCATTTGATTTGTATGGGGGGCTAGGATGAAAAATTTTGTCCTGCATTTTTTTTAGCTGTAATCTCTGTCCTGCCTTTTTATTTTCCACTCTATTCGGTCCTGCCTTTTTTTTTTAGTTTATCCTGACTTTTTTTTTACCTAAATTGTCGTCCTGACTTTTTGTTTTTGCAAATGACTCATCCTGCCTTTTTTTACTCAAAACTCCTGTCCTGCCTATTTTTTTTTAAATTTCATCCGAGCACACCCCCCCTCCCCATAAAATCAAATGGTAGCTCCCTAAGTACTTGGGGACAGGACATTATTTTCGCGTTTTTCTGTATACTATGATCATACATGTACAATAAATAAAGTGTATTTGCTATTTACTATCAATTCCAAGTTTACTATCCACGGCTATATAGAGAGTCTCTATGTAATATATCAGTGAACGCCGTGGATAGTGACGATAATAAACTTGGAATTGATAGTAAATAGCAAATACACTTTATTTATGGTATATGTATGTTCATAGTATACAGAAAAACATAAAACAAAAAAATTACGGATTTTGGAAAAAAGGTAGAGGGCTAAAAAAAAAATTGTCCTGTCACCAAATACCTATATATATGACTTTTGATACCTTTCCTGAAATTCTCCAGTCATAAAATCTTTTACAAAAATTCATCCTACAACAGTTTACATACTTTCAACCACGCTCTAAATGCCTGTGATTTTGCGGGTGTGTTCTTGTATTATATATCTCCCAAAAAGAGGCGTGGTTTGTGAAACAGCTGTATTTACAAAGTACAACCTAAAACACTGCAAAACTTTTGATGTGCACATTTTTCATGGCCAAGTTATTTAACTACCATCTCATACATACCTACAAATTCTCTGGGCTTGTGTACTGTTGAATATTAAATTGCACAAACATTTCTGGGCCTCAACTACCACTGCAAAAAACAGAATTCAAATATATATTTCATTTGTGCCACTTCAATTGTTTAAAGAGTCAGAAACCATGAATTATATTTAAAGCCACGTAATGGCATTTTATTTCTAGTTTTGGTTACTTTTTCATGTTTTTTGTAAAACTTTTTTGTAAAGCTAACAGATAATGAGTTCATATTTTGAAAGTATGCTATCATGGAAAGTGTTGAGTGGAAACTTTGATTACCTGAAAATACATAAATAATTTCTATATCCAGTCATTGATTTTTACATGTTTGAAGACGTTTTATGAACTAAATAGACAATCAACCAAAAACATTCATGATGATGTGATTTTCATGGATTTTTCTAGCATTATTCCCAATGGCAAAACCCCTACATTATTCCAAAACAATCTCAAAGTTTCAATCGTAAATAAATCCAGAGTTATCCTTACCGAAACAACGCTCGTCACTTCGAAAGTGAAAAAGGCAGTAAATCCTTATCATGGGATTTCAATTGTAAAATGTTTAAACTTGTAGGTACTTTCTAAAATTAAAACATTAAAAGAAAAAGCATCAATATTGAGAAATTCTCCATCTTTGGGCAATAGAATAAAAACTGAAAAATATTAAAAATGAGATCAGAAAAAATGTCGGGACTAGCTACATAAATAGCTGGATCACAGCTCCTATGATGCTTTGATTTAAAACAAGCACTCAAACTTATGCAGCAACTGCATGTATAAATGATGCACTAAAACTGAAATCTGGTATATTTGTTGTTTTCCCAGTTTCCAAAACTGCACAGAGCAAGGGTCCGGAAACGGTCATATTTGCCAGTCATGTCCTAAGATAAAACTATTTGTCCTAAACGAGTAATGGGGATTTAGGACAAATTTTATTTTTTTACAGAAGTAATTTCGGTCATTTCTTTGACTCAATGTTTGAAATCGGATTTCTTAATCGCCATTTTGCACTTGTGATCACTTGTTTTTGTTTATAATCCCTTTCCTGTAATAAAACTGCCACTACAGTAGTTTGATAATCCTGTGGGCCCTCCTAATATCTATATCAATGCCTCCGGGAAACATTGGCTAATGATCGGTAATCACTTTTTACCTGTGGTTTTAATTCACACCTGACAGTGATCACAAGCTCAGAATAATATCTTTATAACATTAAAGTTCCCTGACAAGTGTATTCATTATTTATTTACTTTTCATCAAAGACAGTCATCAATTCTGATTTAAAAATTAAATCTAAATTTACGTAGAAAAAGTATTTTTTCATGAGTAACACATGTACTTTATTTACTATGTAATACGCATGCGTGAAATTGTCTTCAGCAAATTTAATATTTAATCGTAAAATGCAAATTGATTTCATGCTAAATTAAACGAGTGCAACTATTATCTGTTATATTCAAACACTTTTAAAGGTAATAAAATAAAAAAGCTATAAAAAGCCGGTGATTTCCTGTCAATTTGATAAACAAAACAAATCCCGGAAATGAATCCAGAATTATTCGTACTTTAAAATATCGCAAACTTCCGGTTTTAATTTTGTCAAATCAAAAGAAACGTAAGCAATGTCTGAGAAATTAACCATTTTGAGTCATTAAAATCATTTCAATTTTAGACTGTCGCCTTCCCTAAACTGTCCATCATGGTAATGGTAAGACATTTACTTAGTAAATGCGATAATGAAACAGCAATACAAGTTCGTCATGTTCGTTGATGCTATGAATATAGTCAAGTCGATGTTGACAATTTGAAAAGGGGCACCAACTTTTCAAACATCTCAAAATGACCGAAATTGTCTGGAAAAATTTCTGGATCCTTGGCACAGAGCCCTTTTTCCCAAAATATCCAGAAAAACCAGACTGTGATTGTTACAGATAACCAACAAAACAACAGTCATAAAGATGTGATTTTTACTGATAACCAACCAAAAACAGTCATAAAGATGTGATTTTTATTGATAACCAACCAAAAACAGTCATAAAGATGTGATTTTTACTGATAATAAACAAAAAATCATGACAATGTAATTTTAAGAAATAACAAACCAAAACCAGTCATGAGGATGTGATTGTAATTGATAATCAACAAAAGCAGTCATGATGGTGTAATTTAAGAAGATAACCAACCAAAAACAGTCTTGAAGATGTGATTTTTCATGATAACCAACCAAAACCCGTAATGACAGTGAGATTTTTACTATTAACCAACCAATAACAGTCATGGCGATGTGATTTTCACTAATAATCATCAATAACAGACATGACAACATGATTTTTACTGATAACCAAACAAAAACAGTCATGATGGTGTTCATGACTATGTGTTTTTTTACTGATAACCAATTAAAAACAGTCATGACCATGTGATTTTTTCTGATAACCAATCAAAAAAGTCATGACCATGTGATGTTAACTGATAATTAACCAAAAACAGTTATTTCGATGTGATTTTTACTGATAACCATTCAAAAACAGTCATGAACATGTGATGTTAACTGATAATTAACTAAAAACAGTCATGACCATGTGATTTATACTGATAACCAAACAGTCATGACAGTGTGGATTTTCACTTACAACACAACATACATGTTTGCATTCATTTTTCTTCAAATTTTAATATTTTCTTACCATCCTGGTTACCACCATCTTGGATGGTTACACATTCTGGATTGGTTTGTTCAGCATAATGTTTAAGTCCAGCCATTTTCATAATTAAACCAAGAGAGTATTCTGTGGTCATATTAACCAGCTTGTCTTTCTCCCGACTAAACAATCGCAACATCTGTAATGCCAGGATATGACATTGTGTTGATGACTGTTCATTTTCAAGTCTCTTCTGTAAACTAGCAATAAATTCCTACAATTGAATATTTAAATAATAATTAAAAATGTTAAAATATCTAAGTTTAAACTCTTCATCTGACTGTCAAAAAAGTTGAAGTATCATAAATTGCATAATGTTACAAATTAAAAATATCTGCATTCATTGATAATCATGTCAGCATGTGTCACTTAAGTTGGCTAAAAACAACTGATTTTCATTTAAATAAAAGAAAAGGGATATGGTACATGTACAATGTATACTAACAATACCAATCCCAACAGGTACTTATAATTAACAAACCCCAAAGCAATGTCATGTTTACAAAATTTCAGGTTTTATTGCTATCAGCTCTTCAGAGTAAGAAAATTTAATATACCTGTTTAGCCTCTAATTTCAAATCTGGAAAACTGAATGTCTGTGCATGCTGAAAATATCAAAGATATAATTTACAATAAAGCAAAGTTCAAAGTGTCCTTGATTATTTATTTCAATAATTTCCCTTCAAGATATTCAAGAATTGGATATTTGACCTGGTCAAGAATCAACCTCTGAGTGTAAAACCAATGTTAGAATCACAAAGGGGTAGAGTCATGAAGGCCTTAATTTGGCCTTGAAAATCAAACTTTCAGTGTTTATGTATAATCAATGATTTATATGTAAAAACCTAAATTTATGATCTTACATATGAAAATTTAGATTAACTAGATTGTTCGTTTTAACAATGCTGACAGCTTCAAATTATGATAACTTACAAGTTTTTATCCAGATTCCCTGTTTTTATGCATTGGTAAGGTCTATTTCTTTCTAAAAACCATTGACCACACCCTTTGACCAAATAATTTTTTTTTTTTTTTAACAAATTATATGGGTCAAATACACATTCTAGCACATTATGGTGGTGCATGCATGTGGTGATGTTGTTTACAGCAAAAATTATTAAAATTTAGGTAGAAAATTAGTCAAAATTGTGATTTTCTGCCTAAGAGTGCACAAATATGACGTCTAAATGACATTATAACTTAAATGTTAAAGCTGGTTGATTTTGTATTTATCAGAATTTTTTACCTTTTCAACATTCAATGTTTTCTTTTATTATTGTCTTTTGAAGTTAAATTTCACAGAATTTTAGTGTCAATATTGACCCTTCTTGACCCTACTCCTTTGAAAAATAAATGGAGAATGTGTCCATGGATCACAGATGATGCCCCAGCTTGCATATAATGTTATAAAGGGGCAAAACTCGAGAACGGTAAAAGTGAAGCCACCCAAATTCGAACTTAATCTGCATAGTTTGTGGTGATAAACATTGTGTATAAGTTTCATAACATTTGGTTGAGGCAAACTAAAGTTAGAGAATGGAAACCAATTTTGGGACGTATGTACAGACGTACATGTACGCAAGGACAAGGGTAACACTTAATGCTCCCTCCGATGACGACGGGGGCATAACAATCATGATTTTCTTTCATTTGTATATTTCTTCTTAATTATGGAAATTTAATTCTTGATTGATCAATTAAGTGAAAATAGTATTTAGGAAATTGGCCATACCTAAACCATGCATACATGTAAAGGGATTCTCTTCAGCTATGTCTCTTCAGAAAGGGAGCGGAGATTTTCTCATTTTTTATGTACAACAATTTTTACGTTGTCTACAATATTAATAGCCCTTAGATCTAAGTGCCTGCTCTTTGATGGAGTTTGAACTGATATTAAGGTTTAATTTTGGAGGCCTTTGGTGGAGTTAGCTTTATTGCATATATATTGCTGATGTGTTGTTCCTGAAAACATGTTGTAAGATATGATCATGCACTGTCATTACTGTGTAGTTGTATTTTATTGTTTTTTGTGTTTTTCATAAGTATTTTCTTTCTTGCTGAACTGGTTGAGAACCAGTCACCAGTTATTGTCACCAGGTATTTTTAACAATAAAGGATGCAATGCGTACAACGTACATGTATACTGCTATTATCAGACCCCAAAAATTTATGTGGTTTTACTGTCACCTGCTGAAAAAATAGAATTGGTAGGTTGGCAATTTTTTTTTTAAATTTCATCTGCAAAGAAGGATTATCTCTCACTATCTTTTGTCACTAGCTGTAATAGGCCTGTATGTATGATGTCCTTTACAACTGCAGCTTCTTGTTGGTTTTTGTTTATTATTGGTCAGGTACAAGTTAGCGTCTGAAATTCATATGTTTAGGTGACACTAACTGGTCCTCTAAATCTTAATACATCATGTTGAAATATGTACAGCAATAACCCTCTTTTTTATATAAAGTATAGGATTGACAGACCGTCCATGAATATGGTTATAAAATGTTCTGACTTTATATGTAAAAAGTGTATTTCCAAACATGCTTCTTTAAAGAGATTATCTGAGGGAAAATGTGAATTTCTTAAGTTAAGTGGTACTCGGCCAATAATAGGACCTTGATAGGGAATGCTGTTCCAAGTAATGAAAAAAAAATGTATGTTTTGAAATTATAGACTCATTTCCATTCTTACACAGAGTACAGTTCATACCTTTGTGGTAAGATCAAGTAGCACGCTACATGCTTCTTTGTCAGACCCACTGTTTAAAATACGCAAGCACCTGTCGTCAATATTCATTTTGATAACAGAATTTTGCTAAATAATATGTTTGTTCAAGATATTCAGTGACATCTTCAGCTTCATCATTTTATGCGATTTCAAATAGTATTCTGCAGTCATAAATAAGTGCGTGCACATACAGCTATTATCCCATACGGAACCAACGGGTAATGATCGATATCGAAACATATCATTATCAACTTTGTTTAACCTAATAGTGCGTCGGCTAAAATGTAACGTTATACTCCTTGATAATAGTCAATGATTGTAATTACGAAAGCGTAAGATTGTTATGAGAACAATAAAGAGGTACAAAGGTGAATTAAAGGCTGTGTGTTTGATGTTATATTAAGGAGCATCAATGGATAAGTAATGGTTCGATAAAAAGATGATATGACCCCCAATAGATGAATGGTATATTTTTTACGATCCATTGGTTCTTTCATTTTAACTTTTAATAAAACGTCTTTTCACAATTCCTCTAATCATGTTAATAGTTGGACCGTATTATCGGTGGTCTCAAATAACTAACTATTTATCTTAAAAGATGCACTAAAACACACAGTAGAGTTTAGATCATGACAACAAATATCATGCGGCGTTCGCACTTTCTGCATTCTGTACTGATATTTCATTTGAATGATTATAAATAAGGAAATTTTTAAAAAAGGAAATAAGGCTGTTCGAATTAATTTTTAAGTATAAATACATGCATGTTACTGAATTCCTATGATATGTATATTTTTTAAATGCCTGTACCAAGTCAGTAATGTGACAGTTGATTTCCATTCGTTTGATGTGTTTTAGCTTCTGATTTTCCCATATTTGATAAGGGACTTTCCGTTTCAAATTTTCCTTGGGGTTCGGTTTTTTTGTTATTTTACTTTTTTGTGGAAATTAATTTATGTTCAGGAAAATATTTGAATGACGAAATAAATTTGAATTCATACTGAACCACTTTGTCCTCTTACTATAAAAATTGTAATATATATTTTATGTATATCAAATATATATATTTTTTCATCAACAGTTTACTGGTAGCTTTTAGGTTTCATTGATTTGATTTATATGAGATACACCTTACAGACTTCAAACAGGGGTGCGATTCCGAGTGACGACGGCAAGTGAAAATTAAAACTTAAAAAGTAAGTTTTTAAATTAATTCCATATGTGAACAGGCACTATTAAATCAGTTTATTTAACTCAATCGCAAATTAAGCAAACAAATTAAACAAAAAATATAATTTGGTGACTCAGGCTATTTCAGCGACCGACTTAAGAAGCGTTGATTTTAGAAGAAAAAAAAGAAACATATATTCTTGACCACGTATAATTTTGGCCATAGAATTGGGACAGCGGGTTGACCTCTCGTCAGTTTCATACTGAAGATACAATAAATAATTGATTATTATTATTAAAGTGTCAACATCTTAAGTACTAAAAAGAGGTTACAGTTAAGGAGTCAAGGTACCGATTAAAATTGTCTATATGGGTTGAACTAAAGTTCTGAAATTTCAAAAGAAAGCGCTTATGTATACTTACGGCTTAAGTTTTTCAAACTTAGTTCAGGGAGATATACCATATTTTTTATGCCTTCTTTATTTGATATCACGGTTTTGATTTTAATAATTTCCTACTTTTGTAGACATTACTCTGATTGATGTTTCGTGAGGCTGTATATGTTATTCTGGAAAATGTTTCGTGGAGCTGCATATATTACACTGGAGGATGTTTCATGTAGCTGTCTGTTCGAACAAAGTTGTATGATTGCCAGATAGCAGATCTGTTTCTTTCTACTGGCATGCCTGGTGTATTATATTGAAATAACATTTGGTTGTAGTTTTTGGCTCTTCCTTTTAAATCTCTTGACATCCATCATGTTTAACATGCAGTTATTTATCTTTTTTGCACTGGGCCTTCATTGGTGATTAGCGACATGATATTTTGTTGTTATCTAAAGTTTTGTGATGCATGAGGGACCTGTACGCCGTTACAAATTGGTTTTTTGTTGTTATTTAAAGTTTTGTGATGCATGAGGAACCTGTACGCCGTTACAAATTGGAAGAATGTTCTGCATTGGTGGTGCTTTATGTCGACAATGCCCTGACGTTTGGGGTTTCTGAATTAATTTTCTGTTGACTTTGCAAATAGTTCGATTCTGACATGATAGGGACAACATCGGGAATGTATACATGTGGAAACAACATTAAGAAAGCGGGAGGAATCTCGTGTTGTTGAATGAGCATCATTGGTGGACCATATACATGTATATACTTAAGAAAAAGACATGCACTATAAATAAAGTTATCGTTTTTGATTCATATTCTTATTCATTTTTGGGGTAACACTAATTCTATCATTTAAAAATTTTTGTTTTTACTTCTAGAAATATTTAGGATTTGATTAATTATTCACAGATATGCTTGGTCTTATCATTTGAATTTTTCTCTGTGTTTGCTATTATGGATACAAGGACAAATGGTTCAGTGACAAAGCTGAAAATGAATTAATCTGGAATTCTAAAAATGTTTTATAACACTCAGAGACGTATAAAATTGGTATCTAGATATAATTTGCCTCAGACATACCAAAAAAACTGAATATTTGGAAGGTGCATGAAAACTGTTTTTATTTGTTTAAATATAGTAAAGCGCGTATATTATATAAGAGTTGCCATGAGAATCCGGCTTGAACAAATTATAGTTATTTTGGAATTATTCGTTTTACCAGGCCAGCTAAAGTACATACGACATAGACTGAAAGTCAAGTACGACACATCTCCACCAGACTAGTTTTTCGATCTTATTGAAATTTATAGAGATAGATACTGTGTCCATGGACCATCCTTATAAGCAGAGAAGCGTGGACACAGGCTCTGTATTTCGATCAGATTGAGAGTTATCATGCTTTTTGATTGAAAGTATCATTAATTCGTTCAGTAATGTCATAAAAAAATCGGCTAACGATGCATTAAAAAATAAATTGTATTACAAAACGGGTGGAATTATTACATGAGAGACACAGTAAAACAAAAAATCCTAAAATTTCATGAAATGTTTCATAGTCAAACTCTTGAATAATTATAGTGGCATTATCCCTTCAGCAAATTTTCACTATTCATATCTTTAACCTAGGACAGACGAACGACATGCAGAATATCAATTGTAGGATAATATTTTATCAGAACTCTTTTTCTTTCTTTAGTTATTTGATCATGGAACACTATTCAAAACGATATCCGATGTAAAATTAAAATGTTAATGCTGCTTAAATCAAATTTGATTAAAATGACAAATCACTATTATTGTGGTGAAAAGAAAAGACAACTACTTCATGTCAGCATCAGGTTGGGTTGCAGTTTAGTTTAAAAATGAACAATGATACAATAGAAATGATCTCACGGAAATTAAAAATTGCCAACTTTTTTCAGGCAGAATATAAAAGGTCTGGATTTGGTTTACAGAAAGGCACTGGCTACGGTTACCCGTAAACAGTAACTATAAGAAATAATTATTGTCACTTCCGAGACTAATCGCCGAGATGTATTTCCGGACGGGACTTACATGATTTCATACGGAAATTGCAGGTTACAATAATATATTATTTTATTGTTACCCGCAAAATATATGCAGGCAGGCACTGGTCTTAGAATATTTGATTTGCGAGAATAGATTTAAACAATTAAATTATAATGTAAAAACATTAACATGATTAAACTTCCAGATATATTAACCGATATGACGGCTATTTTTGCCATTGGGGAGAGGGGATCGATTAAAACAACAATTCGAATGATCAAGATGTCCAATTTGTCGTCGGTTAAAAGTTTATATCTTTTCAAAATTTTAATGATAAACTTCAGCGATTCAAAGATGCAAATTTTGTTCAATTATATAGAAGAAATTCTGATCATAACCTCAGAGGAGCAATTTCTTTCATTTGAGAAATTTCCTACGCTTGGCGAGAATATTAATCTAAAATAAATCAAAGAATATTTTTCCAATGAGTCATGGAAAATTCTAAAACAAAAACAGATATCGCAGAAGGACATAGGAGTGGAAATGCTTAGTGTGTGGTATTGACGTTCTCATATGACATATATTTGAATCTATAGTTTGCGACGGATGTCTGGAGTGGTACCACCTAAAATGTTTTGGCCTCAAAATGTCACCTAAGGCTACATAATGGATGTGTAGGAAGTGCCACCAAAATATATAGCTATAATACTTCTTATTATATATAAATGTGTTAATTATCATTGCTATATAGATATAAGAAGATTGTCAAAATAATTTCTATTCATATTTTTTTTCTTTCAAATATGTAAACCGAAGTATACGGGGCAATGACACGAAAACAGTACAAAGTATCTTGATGCTACCCACAATAAAGACATAATTTGCAAATGTAAAATTTTGCGGGTAACAATAACTGCCGGTAACAATAAAAACTATTTTATTGTTACCTGCAATTTCCATATGAAATTGGATCACTCTCCGGAAATACATTTCGGGAATTTGTCTCGGAAGTAACAATAATTATTTCTTATTGTTACTTTTTGTGGGTAACCGTAGCCAGTGCCTTACAGAAAAGAGAATAATGGCAAAAAAAAACCCAATAAATAAAGAAAAATGAGCAAAACAATAATGATTTAAGAATAATGGGGGTTTAAAAGTATAACAAATAACTGTAGAAAATAAAACAGAAATAAGGTAATACATTAATATTGATTACAGAAAATAACGATGTATCAAATAAACAGACCATATATATAGTAATATGGATAAATGTAATATTTAGATAATTTTCATGCAAATTTCACAGGACAAGCATTATTTTTAAAGATAAAGAAAAATGACTCCAGAAATTAAAGAAAATCGAAATGAAGGACCCCATCCAGACTGTCCTCACACAATGAGGTAACGGCGTACGGTGACCTATATAGTTGTTAACTTCTATGTCATTTGGTCTCGGGTAGAGAGTTGTCTAATTTGCAATTATACCACATCTTATTTTTATAAGCATTTCCTTCCAGATTGAGTGTAATCATTAGTTATGCTTATATGCCAGAAAACGTGTAATGTCAATTTGCTTCTCTTTGGCAGAAGTAGCCTGGAATATCAACTCATGTTTAAGCATATTCAATTTTGCTAGTGGATTCGAAGCTCTTCGGCCTATAGTGACTTCCTTTATATTTGGGATTTGAGTGGAACAGCCTCGTTGTTGTTTCCTAATCCCTTCGTCTAATGCTGCAATCATATTTTGTATGTCATATTTTCAAATAAAATATGAACTTTTGGTAATGTCATCAATAATTTAAGTGTGAATGTTGAGATTACTAGAACTGTGTGATATGTATGGTCTCAGGTGAGTGCCATGAAAAGAATGGTTAATTCTTAACCTGAGGCATAATATATTAGTATAATAATCCCAGTTCGAATTGTCTAGGTGATCGGAAACTGATAATATTTTTTTCAAAATGTGCTGACAGTCAAACAATCGACTACTTTTGAATTCCTTTTGCTTCATTTCATACTTATAACCAACATTTTTTTTGTTCATTTGTTCTTAATTCATTCAGAATTTCTCCTGATGTGAACGAAAAGTCAATTATATATGTATGTAAATACTACATGTATAAAGCAATCTTATATCTTATCATATTGACCATTATAAGCAACACTACAGTCCTTATTAGCATAATTTTTAATTAATCAAATCAAATCAAATATTTTATTGTCTTATAAACTTTACAGTTTGTGACCAACATGTATTAACACAATAAACATATATACATACATATCAAACAAACACAATAAAAACAGCATCAAAATTTATGAAAACAAACAAGTTGTCAAGAGTCCCCTGCCCTCAGTTCTAATGACTTTTTCAAGAAGGATCCTAACTTATTTGTTTGTAAAGGCGTTGATGGATTTAGTAAATAATGAATTTTTTCTTCTTCATTTAAATTATTAAAGTTATTATTTTCAGTACATATGTGTTCAAAAAAGGCATTTCTTAGTGTTTTATTATAATCACAATAGAGTAAAAAATGTTTCTCATCCTCTAGTATTTTACATTTATGACAAAGTCGTTCCTCTCTTGGGATTTTAAAATATCTCCCCTTTTCAATTAAGAGGGAGTGATCACTTAGTCTAATTAATGCGATTTAATTAAAATATTTTATGTTTGTACGCATAATAATAAATAAATAAATAAATACAAATATTTATTACAAATATTTATTAGCACAAACTCATCAACAATAAATGGTTAAGGCTCATGGTATATTAATTACATAGTTGATCATACATAATAAGTATTGCAAATAATGACTATATTAATATGTAATATTATAAACAATGATTATGAATTAGACATAATGACAATTTTATAGAGTTTGTTCTGCTTTACGCAGGTTCAGACTGTCTGAAATGAAAGAGGAAGTTAATTTTAGGATTGTGTATGAATTATTATTTAATAAAAAGAATACATTATTTTAATTTTTTTGAAATTTTGTAGGATCAACGATTATGTTTGAAACTTTTTGGTAAAATATGGCCCTTTTAGTTGAGTATTTTTCACAATGTAAAAGAAAATGTTTTTCATTTTCAATTTGACCAGAATTACACACAGAGCAGTATCTTTCATTTCTGGGAATATTTAGATGTCTCCCTCTTTCAATCATCAGTATATGAGCGCTTATACGGATCTTACATATTGCAGCTCTGTCACTTCTGTTTTTCAATATATCAACATAGGGTGGTCTTCTGCCCATTATGTATACACTCTTGAAAAAGTCTAACTTTTTTGATTCAAATATATTTGCATTTTGAACTTGCAAACATTGGTCATTAATTCTTTGTTTAATGGAATTTAAATTACCTTTAACATAATTAAAGTTATTGATGATATAAGACATTCCAAGTCCATTCAAAAGACTCTTGACCTTTATGACCCAAGGGTTTGAATCTACAGATTTAGTGAATATATCATATGCCAAAGAATTTTCCGAAGAAACTATATGGTTCAGGTAGTTGAATATTGAATATAATATTTTATTTTTCAAGGGAATTCTATAATAATATAAGTATAATAGTCTCAAGCAAAAGGAAGTTCTCGTTAGGTATTAAGTACTGTTAAGTAATATCTTTAGTAAACCTGAATCTGATTGGATAATTTTGGCCAATGAAACAAAAGATAACAAACGGATAGAAGTTGACTAAAACGAGACCTCATTTTTATCGAAAAAAAAGAAAATGGTTTAATTAACACCTTTTCATTTGATAAGGTACACGTAAACTGCAACTTAATAGATAGTCTTTGAATCAGATGGATACACACTATAGCTTTTATATACATTCATTATAGGTCACTGCCACAGGCGCTTGTTTCTATAAAGAAAAACTACTCCTTATAATAGGTACAGGCCATTTTTTCTTGAAACAGGTGCCTTAGACAAAGCTAAACAAGATCATCAGAAACCACTAAACTCTACGACTTTCTGTTCATTTGATTTTAAGTAAACGTATCCGGTTGGTACTAGTCACCCAAGTGGGTTTTAATGATCAATTTTGGATATAATTGCCCAAATGAGGTATAAAGTTACAGAGCAAACATAATTTCTATTTTTGTCATTTAAGTGAAAACATTAAAAATTGCATTTGCCAAGATCACCAGTAGCAACTATTGCCTTTTACATCATGCCATGATGGCCAATATCCTGAAATACAGAATTAAACTTTATCACTAAATTTACGGTCTCACTAATTAGCGACAAGAAGAATTTTAGCGACTAGAAGCATCAAGGAGCGACAAGAAGCGACATGAAGAATAATTTTGGCGACAAGAAGCGACAAGAAAACATTTTTTTTTTTATTAAAATTACTTATTCAAAATTAATATTAAAAGAATATGCAAAAGAAAACAATTTTAGCGACAAGAAAGTTAATATTCTATCAATAAATAGATAGAAAAAAAAATTTTGAAACATAGATCTAATTGCTACATTTATTTGTGATATTTTATTATTTATTATATATAACAGCAAGTATTTCGTTTACCCTGTCATATTATGATATTAATTTTACTTGTGTTTTAGAACAATTATATATTTATCTTATAATTCGTTGGTCCGTACCTTACGCAAAAAGTTATTCCTACTACTAGGGATTACGTGTACAATGCACGAAAAACAGAGTCAAGAATTCCATCAAGTTGCAATGGAAAAACAACAATTGTGATGATCATTTAATCACATCTTGAAACTTAATCGGAGAAAGAAAAGACATTTGCATTGCAAAAATGCTTGACTTATGGGAGAAAGTTAAACGCAAACCCTGAGTCCACCACCAAGGAAACGTACTAAAAGTGCAAAAACTACATCTTCAAAAAGGGCTAAAATACAGTAAACCTTAGTGGTAAAAAAATCTACGGCTTATCAAAATTGGACCACCATGTTCAAAATGTATAAAGATTATGTTAGATATGAATGTAAATATTACAATTCCTTGATAGTGTATACCGATTGTGTTAGATATGAATGTAAACACGCTTACAATATAATTCAAAGCGTATCCGGGACTACACAATCCCTTTCTTCCTCACAAATATTTAATTTCTTCATCTCTCAATATAATAAAAAAACTACATAATCCCTTTCTTCCTCACAAATGTTTAATTTCTTCATCTATCAATATAATAAAAAAAAAATATCAATTTATTCCTGCCCATATATTAAAAAAAAATCAAATGCATATTTTTTAATATTTATTTGGAATAAGTAATCTTAATAAAAAAAAAATTGTTTTCTTGTCGCTTCTTGTCGCTAAAATTATTCTTCTTGTCGCTTCTTGACGCTTCTTGTAGCTTCTTGTCGCTTCTTGACGCTTCTTGTCGCTAATTAGTGAGACCCCTAAATTTATACCCGATTTTTCTTGCAATATCTGCAACTGAGGATATTACAACAATTTAATCATCCCCAACTTGATTATGCCCTCACCTTTGAACGTCCTGGGCTTTTTGTTTTTATACCAATATCACATGATGTCTCTCAGAAATCCAATGTTTTTGTTTAGATATCCCAATATGCATGTACAGATAATTAAGTTGAATTTAAGTGTCCTCGCTAGCTCAAAATGGAGGGAACTGTGTTCCACCTCTATTATGTTGTGCCCCTCTGACCTAAAACTTGAAAAAAATGTGCCCTTGTTTCCCTTTCCATTGCTTCAATGTCAACAATGAATTTTGACCAACCAACATGACCATGTCAAAAGGTATCTTTTAATAATCCTAGAGTATATATCCTAGACTGATTTAGAATATAGCAAAGTGCTCTCGACCGATAGAATTGTAGGATTTGATGTTCCGTAATAGTGAAGAATGAATGTAAATCATAAGGGATTATCTTATAGTTTACAGTTCAAAACAGATTATTTATTTCAAGTTTTTAAAACCAACAAATAAATCAAATTCTGTTTAAAGTTTACTGGTGCATTTAAATTGGGGCCGTTAATGTTATGTGAATATTTAAAACTTTAAAATTACAAAAATAATGCAATGTCAAATCAATGCAAAAAGAAGAAAAAGAAAAAAAAAGTTTAGAAAATAAATATTCATGTAACATACAAATTTAGCATTGAATATACTTGCCAAAAATCCGATTACTGTATCCGCAGTTACTGTTCGTAAGAATAGTCATTTCCAATATACTGATTAATTAAAATAGGAAATTAAATTAACTTTTGAATTTCATATAAAAAGCATTTAAATTGAACATTTCAATTTAGTTAATTAGGTAGTAAATGATGTAACGAGCTTGAATATAATTTAGTTGTAACTCAGATTTTGAGTTTATTAAATTGAACTGTAAATAATCAAAAGGATAATTCTCATTAAAACATTACATAACTTACATTCATACTCACAATTAGGTAACTTATACATATTCTACCATTTCGTTGTGCTGTAGATGTCAAAACACTATTTTTTCAAAATTTTGTATTGTAAATTATAAGTAATTCCTTACATCACTAAGACTAATCCATACAGTCGCCCCACTTTGACAAAGGTTTTACTGCGGGTCGAATGTAGATCTATGGGTGACCATATTTCCATTTCCCAGTCAGTCCTTGGGGTACATCAAGTTATTAATCTATATAATAGATAAAAGAGAAGGCAGATTATTAAAAAAAATTCGTAAGGGTATTCCGCGGAACCCACTGTCTCGCCTAATTTTGCTGTTAATCGCAGGCTCAACAAAAATGAGGAAAAAAATCAATAAAAATATTCCTTTAGATACTATCTTTTGATTGTAAGAAGCTTCTGTCAAAGTTTGGTATTAATCCAGGATAGTTTATGAATCTAATAAATGTTTTAAAAACTTTAACTGCAGAATGTTAACTTGAAGAAAAACTAAGTCCATTTATAAGTAATATACGGATAAACAGGTACAAATGTTAACAAAATTTCCTTCTAGATACTAGCTTTTGATCATAAACAAGCTTCTGTCCAAATTTGGTACAAATCCAGGATAGTTTAAGAAAGTTATTAAAATTTTAAAAACTTTAACCACAGAGTGAATGTATTGTTTCCTGGCAGAAAAACTAAGTCCATTTATATAAAGTAAAATACGGAAAAAATAAAATTTTGTTTTTAACAAATTTACTTCTGGATACTATCTTATGATCATAAACAAGCTTCTGTCCAAGTTTGGTACAAATCCAGGATAGTTTAAGAAAGTTATTAAAATTTTAAAAACTTTAACCACAGAGTGAATGTATTGTTTCCTGGCAGAAAAACTAAGTCCGTTTATAAGTAAAATACGGAAAAAATGAATTCTTTTTTTTACAAAATTTACTTCTGGATACTATCTTATGATCATAAACAAGCTTCTGTCCAAGTTTGGTACAAATCCAGGATAGTTTAAGAAAGTTATTAAAATTTCAAAAACTTTAACCACAGAGTGAATATTTGTGGACGCCGACGACGCTGACGGAATGTCTGATTGCTATGTCTCGCTTTTTCGACTAAAGTCGAAGGCTCAACAAAAATGAGAGATTCTATTTTGTTAAGAATGTTATTTTGCCGATAAGCATATTCATAAATTATGTACATCATTAAAGCAGAACTGAAAATGATCTCTATAGAAATTACAATTGTACAAAGAGGTTCATGAAAACTGCATTGAAATTTGTATTGAACTGAGAGTAACTGAGATATGTTTATTTAGCATGATTACCGTTGGAACTCGAGTAAAAGTCGATCGTTGGATGCCCTGTTCAGCTTCAAAATCTAAGGATTCAGTATTGACCCTCATATAAGTCGGTCAAAATTTTTGCTTTCTTTTTTCAGCAGACAGATACTGACTGACGGTAAAATCAATGCAAAATCCAGGAATTATATTCATTTTGAGATCCCTTCATGAATGGATGTTTGTTTGTTTAAATCTAATTACTGTTCATCATGATAATTTATAATGCTCTTATAATAAAGATGTACTCATTTCTTGTTTTATTCACTGTTTGATTTAGCCATGTGTTTGTTTGTAACCTAATGCATCAATGATTTTATAGAGTTTGACTTACCACCAATTGTTAGAGAAAAACGAATATAAACCGATATGAGCCAGAATAAATTAAAAGTCAAATAACACTTGCTGAAAATGTTTTTCACAGCATGTATAGTTCAGTCATGAGCACACATCATAATTAAGTCTCCCAAACGAAGTTTGGAAAGACTTATTGGTTTTGCTCAGTTCTTATTATTATTATTATTATTCTTCTTCTTCTTCTTCATCTTCCGCCGCTTTTAAATTTGAACTTGTCCGCACCCGTTCTCCAAAACCGCTTGTCAGATTAATTTAGGGTTTCACAATATGTTAGACTAACATGTCTAGTGGTGCAATCAGGGTTTTGTTTGTGCAATAGGGTTTATAAAGGGGTACTTTGAGGGGCAAAAAGAAAGGAGGGTTTTACTATAGAACCCTATGGGATTTTATTTTTTAAAATTTTCAAATGATTATAAATTGAAAACCGTTTGTGATACCTACAATCTTTTTAATTGAAAATGTTCTAAATGATAAAGCACATTAAATGAAATACAGGGTTAGTCCCCAGGGGTCACCCCCACCCCCTGCCATTTAAGAAAGTTCTAATATCTTGTAAATGGTCGAGATCCCCACCCCTAAACCATATATATTCTGGTTTGTCATGCTAAGATGGTTTGAATGATATACAGGGTTAGTCCCCAAGGGTCATCCCCACCCCCTGCCATTTGAGAAAATTCTGATAT